CTTCACCCACTCCAGGAAACATCTGATTGAATTGTTAAATCTGCCCTCTGAAATGGATTGTCCCTACTGAAAAACTCTGGCCCAGGCATTGATCCCAAGCCCCACTGGTTTGGACCCTGCTTGCAGGACAGGCATCTGACGAGCACACTGCATTGCAGGCAGGTGTGTTTGCAGGTCCCTGGTCACCTAGACTAACTTTAAGGATCCTCATTGCTCTTTCACAATTCCTTTAACATTTGTCAACTCTTTTAGCGATTATTACACCTTTTCACTTTATTCAATCCTTCAACTCTTCCTCCACCCCACTTATTCTCAGTAAATTACCTTATCTCCCACACACTGAGAAAATGGAAGCTATCTCATGTGAATGCCTCTTCCTATCCAAATTGCTCTCCAGTTTTTAAAATCTACTGTCTTCTCTTCCATACAGAGAAAATGTGTCCTCTTTTCTATACCAAATGAGTCTACTCATCTCTTGATCCTGTTTCTTCTGACTGCTCTGGGCCTTGTTCCATCAATTACCACTCATTTGCTTGAATCTTCAATTCATTCTCTTTGGCTCCTTATGAGAGTATGTGTAAAGGACACTGATCTACCACTCGGATTCCCTTTCAAGATTGAAGGATTCAGTCCCCCAGATGACAGGAGTGCTGCTGGAAGATGGTCCTTAGCCATCAGCCTTCTTCAGGAATTGCCTCAGCAGAAGAAAGTAACCTCACTAAAGTTCACGTATTCTTCCCTGGGCAGCTCTCCTCTAATGACTGGGTTAATGTGGGGAATATAAAGACCAGCCCTCTCACCTTAACTTGAGACAACTCTGAAGGGTCTTCTCAGTTTCAGAGCTCCTTAAGTCTTGGCCAAGGTCTTCATTGAGACTGCATCATTGCCCAGCTTCTCCCTCAGTCCAGTCTTGTCTCCTTTCCTTTCCTTGCCTTCCACAAGTTGTTAAACCTGACAGCACTCCCTGATTAACTTCATGCTAATCATCTCAGAGCCTGAATCCCAGGGTACCCTCCTTATGAGAGTATGTTTGTAAGACGAGAACATTTAATAATTTGTTAGGTAGTACCAAGTTGCCCTTTCAAAAAGCTGTACAAATTTGCACTCCCATCACCAATGTAGAAAAGTGCCTCTTTTCTACATTGCCTAACTACACCCTAACTGCCACTACTGGATGTTATCAAGTTTTTAAATCTTACCATTCCATAAGTGACAGATGGTGGCTTATTCTTGCTTTATTTGTATTTTTAAAAAGTATGCGTATGAGTAAGAATGTTTTTACATATTATTTACTGGCTATTTATATTTCTTTCCCTTTCATTTGCTTGTGTTATTTGCACATTTTTCTATTGCACAGCCATACATATTGGTAATATACCATATACCATACGTATATTAATTTTCAAGTACCGTTTGTATAGTAAGAAAGTTGCAAATAAGTTTCTTCAGTTTGCTGTTTGTTTGGCTTTAAGACTTTCTTCCAGTCATTCAAGTGTTTTGAATTTTTAAAATTTGCTAACATTACCAACATTTTTCCTATGCTTCTTGGTTTTCTGTCATGCTTAAATTGGCATTTCCCATTCTAAGATTTGGGGAAAAAACACTAATATCTTCTTTAAAACTTAGCTCAAATGCCATTGCTGTCACCAAGATGTCTGTGAGAACCTCGACCAGGTTAACCCCCCAATTCCCTTCTCCCTTTGTATAATATAAATCACACTGCCCATCATATTCTGCCTTAACATTATGGCCATTTTTATTATTCTCCAGACTCTTCTATTGGAATGTAAGTTACTGAGGGAAGGAATTCCATTTTAAATCTCTATGTATGTCCTCCAGCATCTAGAATGACTTGCGTAAAGTCCTACTTAAATATTTATTGAATTGTATTAACTAGTACTGTTAGGTGGCTCTGACACTAAGGGTGAGTGATTTTATATGTATGTATACATACACACGTGTCTGTATATGTATACATACACACGTGTCTGTATATGTATACATACACGTATATATGTATATTTCACACACATTCTCATCAGCCATAAATTTTGTGAAATTTTGTGACTATTTTAGTGCTTGGATAACTCTTAGTTCTGCCCTCTTTAGACCTGAGCCACACTTACCAAAGGCTGACTGCAAAAACACCACTTGAGAGTGAGGTCTCAGGGCCTGCCAAGTGACAGGTGACCAGAACACTCCTAGCTGAGGAGGCAGATCAAGCAGAGTGGTTCCTAGCAATAGGGGAAGCATATATGAAGCTATGACACAAAGTGGCCACCCTCCCCCAGGGGAAGCAGAGCCCAGCCTCCCAACACCATGACCATCTGCCCCATCAGTGGCATAGATTCCTCCAGGCCGTACTTTCGGCTGGGGAAGAAGTCCCTGATGTTAAGGACAAGATACAGGCAGGTATCTCAACTAGGTCAATACATTGAGTTATCAGCTCAGGTGGATTAGTCATTGCAGTTCCAATGCCCAGTAGTCCTAGTCTCGGATTCCATGGTTTCATTTTCTCCCTTCTCATTCTCTTGAGCCCATTCAAATATGGCTTTCATGCCACCACAACTGCTCCTGCCAAGGTCACTGGTGACATCCACGTGGCTAAACACAATGGCCAGTTCGCATTTCTCACCTCACTGGCCCTGCCAGCAGCATCGGGCTGGTGGATCCCTCTCTCCTTCCTGAGGGCTTGATTGGGCTCCCTGGGCACCAGTTTTTCTCATACCTCACTGGATGCTTTATTCTCCTCCTTTTCTGGTTCTTCCTCTGCTTCGTGAGCACTTAACATTGGAGAACCCCCAAAGTACAGTCATTGGACCTATCTTTTCTATCTAGATTCATTTTCTTGATGATCCCAGCCAATCTTATAGCTTTCAATACTGTCTACCTGCTGACAAATTCCAAATTTTATTTCCTCTAACCAGACTTGTAGGTCCAGCTGCCTACTCAACATCTCGCTTTGGATGTCTAACAGACATCTCAAATGTAACATTCCAAAACTGAGCCTCTGATCTTCCCCTTCCCCCAAATCTGCTCCTCTCACAGTCTCTCCATTTCAGTAAATGACAACCCTATCCAACTAGTTACTCACACCAAAAACTCTGGTGTCATCCTTCACTCCTCTCCTTTTCTCACACCCACATTCAATCTGTCAGCAAATCTACTTTTACTATATCTTCAAAATATACTCAGAATCCGAATCCTCCTCACAACCACTCTGCTAACCACCCTGTGCAAGTTACTATCTCTTAAGTGTCTCTCTTTTCTCATCAATAACTGGGGGCAATAATAGCCTATGACTTACAGGGTTCATATGTGGAATGAAAGACACGTAAAGAACTTAGCATAGTGCCGAACAAATTGTTAGTGCTTGGCCAGGTGCAGTGGCTTACACCTGTCATTCCAGCACTTTGGGAGGCTGAGGAGGGAGGATTGCTTGAGGCCAGGAGATCAGCCTAGGCAACATAGTGAGATCTTGTCTCTACTAAAATTCAAAAAAAATTAGCCAGGTGTGGTGATGCATGCCTATAGTCCCAGCTACCTGGGGGACTGAGGCTGGAGGATTACTTGAGCCCTGAAGGTCAAGGTTGCAGTGAGCCATGATCATGCCACTGCACTCCAGCCTGGGTGACAAAGTGAGATCCTGTCCCCCCACCCTCAAATAAAAAAGTTGTTAGTGCTTAATAAATTTTAGGTTTCAGTATTATTTGTGGTCTCTCTTTTCTAGGAGGTTTCAAGAAGATGTGACTTGTAAAGTTGAAGCTATCAGCTCCTTTTCATAAGAACTGAGTTTTTCCTTCAACACATGAAATTTTCATTTTAAAGATTTCAACTGACTGAGCTAAAAAAAAAGAAAAAGAAGTCTAAATTAACCTCAGCCAGTAAAACTGTCACAAATAAGATCCAAATAAAGGGTTAAAAAGCACAATAGCAATTTGAATCATTGGAATTCTTCTCTAGCCTGATTAAGAGGAATTTTCAGCTAACCTAAAAAATATTTTAAATCTAAAGTTATATAAGATTGTCACATATCATACTGCATAGCTGTATACAGCCCTAGCTTCACAACCTGAAATAATTTGGGGATATGAGGAAATTCATAGGATGTTTCTACAACAGCAACAGATATAACAGCCATCATTTGTATAAAACAGCCCTATTTTATAAACCCATAGTCCCAACAGATCTATCATCCCAACTAATTAGTAGTAGGTAGAAAGATTCTGGAAAGTCCTCAGTGTTATCTGAGATATCAGCAATATATAATAGGCCCGAACCATATAGGAAACATCTTGGGTAAGTGCTCTAATGCATGAATTAAATACATGGATATCACTAATAAGATAAACCTTTGCACTAAATAATCAGAAAAATATTTCAGAGCATTCAACTTGTCCTTTAATGCAATCGCTTTGTTAATCTGTGATAAGAAACAGTATTTGAATAGATAAAAGTAGATGAGCAATTTTTCTTACTTTAATGTGTTTGGAAAATCATGTCTCTTCTTTATTCTTTTAGTATGGATCTCTCTCACCATATATATGTGTGTGTGTGTGTGTGTGTGTGTATATATATATATTTACATACATATAAATATATGAAACATCTACCATGTGCTGAGTAATGAGGAAACAATAGTAAATTGTTTTTATTACTAAGCTCCTTATAAAAATATTTTGATCGTTTTGAGTATAAGAGCTAGGTAACAGTGGCCTTGGAGTGTTTTAAGTTGGGGGGCGGGGGATAACCCTAATATAAAATCATCAGGAATTGACTGTGCTTAATTTATTAGATTGTCTTTGTCCATATTTAATTATACATTATACTCTGTGGTATTCTTAGGGTGCTATATACAATGTAAACAAATTTAAATATCACATATATGCAAAAAGTTGCTTAGTAAAGGTAAACTCTCATTAATACCTACTGTGGGATCATTTTAGCTGATCCATGTGTACTTTGTATGCTAATTTGATTTATTTATCTGTTTTTTGTAGGAAGTCCTGGCTGAGCAAGATTGGAAGCCCTAGTTCTCGCATTGACCGCACAAACTTTTCTAATGAAAAAACCATCTCTAAACTTGAATACTCTAATTTTAGTATTAGATACTAATAGAAGAGAAAAATTGTAATGCTTATACTGCACAATAGATACTATATGTTCTTAAGACTATGTATACTAGAATAATAGTAGTAGAGTAGGGTGAAAAAGGAACTTTCCGTTCTGAAAGCTAAGCGACTGTGTTACTAAAAATGTCTGACACTGAAGTAATTTTACTCAACTATGTTTTCAACAAGCAAAAATGTAGTATGCTAAGATTAAAATGTCATTATAAAATATTTAGTATGAACAATTTAAACTTGTCTCATGGAATCTTTAATTTCAATGAACATTACAGCATATATGACATATGTTATTTGGCGAGACATAAAATAAAGTTAACCATTTAAAAATTATTTTCACATACTGTTGTCTGTGTTGAATTATAAAATCCTCTGAATAATTTGTTACTACAGTTGAGTAATTTGTTATTAAACTCTTTAAAAAGAACCAGCAATTAGAAATAAATGTATGTGATGATCAATATAACCATAAAATATTATCAACAAAGAGTTTTTTAAATTCTGGTTAATGTGAACATTATTCAGTTGGAGCTACTTAATGCCTTCTATATTGCTGTGTACACTGAACATTCAGGCTGAATGATGGTGGCTAACAAGAACTCACAATTTCAGTATAGCAATCATCAAGATTTTCAACCACCACCCACAACAGATATCCTATTAACCAGAAAAGAAACTGAGAGTCTAAATGAATCATACAATACTGTCCCCTAAATTTGGCCTATCACTTGGGAAGCTTCACATGTAACTGATAAAGCAATGGAGAATATAAAGGGGAAAGTTTTTTTCTATAGCATAAAATTATATTAAAAGAGGCAGACCTTTAATGCAAAAGACTGGGGAATTTCCAGTGTTGTAGGCATATACTTGCACATATTCCATGATTCTCAAACTTTTTATAGCAATGGAATCCTTCCTTAAACCAACATTTTATATAGAATTGAATACATAAGTTTTTAGAAAAGCAAAAACAAAGCACAGCTGGTGTAATTACAGTGGGGATAGGCATCCCCAGAGCCTTGCACACTTGGTATCCCTCTCTCTACTTGGACAATTTCAAATACCTTGCTAGTACACTTTGAAAACCACTGTTCTATTTAAGGAACAAATCTCTATTGCTATCCTCCATGGCCTGGAGAACGAATGCAGGCCTCTTTCTCTTCTACCTACTGCAAGATAAGAAATGAGGAGAGATGAAGGGGGCGGGGTGAGTTTGTTCATTGGAAAGGTTAACTCCTTGATGATAATATTGAGATCAAATGTACATAAAACAACATGGCATTAGGGAATGACTTTCCAAATAAACAAAGGACTAAAGAAGTTTCCTATTATTTTAATACCATCATCATGTTAAGTATTACATGTGTCAAATGTCACACAGGAGAATCTATTTAAATATTATTTGGATTTTGCTCTCCTTCTGTTTCCCCACTCCTGATTCAAGAAAAGTTGACAAGTCTTTGTGTTCCCTTATTTCAGGGAAAGCTTTGGGTGCCAGATCCCCCTGAAGACAACCTTTCTTCTATAATTTCATTTTAAAGAGGGCATTATCCTGTGGGTCGAAGAGAAAGACAAATGCTGGGCTCTTAGGGGGTAAAAGAGAAGCAGAAGTTGTGAGAAGTAAAGAAGACAAGGAGATTATCCAAGACTTTGGAAAGGAAACAAAGGCTGTGGATTTCCCAAGTCCTGGAGACCTGCACCTTTCTCCCCAGTGGCACCTCTACCTATAGCTAAACCTGAAAAGGAAGCAGCTGTAGTTCCCAGAGAAGCCAGATCCCAGGCCCAGGGGCTCTCAGCATTAGCAAGATTCCTGTCCCCATAAATGCTTCAAAGCATCCTACAAACACCAGGGTGGTTACAAGGGGCCACGGTGGTTTGAACAGTGATCACAGCAACTGGTATGCGCTGGACACCGAGAGGTCTTTCCTTAATGTTTTCTCTGCATATGACTCTTTGCATGTTCTTTCTGAGAGAGGGAACAAAGCACCAGGGATGACTAAGATACCCACCTCCAGATAGGATGAGGTTTGAAGCAGGCTCGCTTTGGAGAAAATAAAATAGACATTTTTTTCCCCCGCAAGTTTGAAAACAAAACCTATATCTCTCTACACAGAGAAAGGCTAAGTGATTGAAAAAAATGTATGATCTCAGAAGTGACACCAATATGTTACTTCTTATTATCCTGACATCCTTTGGTAGTTCCCTTCCCTGCTCTCTCTATAAGAAAATCACACATCACTAGAACAATCTTCTAACTACACCAAATGAATCACACTAGTCAAGGTTACTTAATGATTAGTACATAACTAAATTCTATTATTGGATGAAAAATGTACATTATAATTGAAAAATAGGTGTTCAGGAGTGGGTAGAAAGCAAGAGAAATCAGGATAAAGCAATATAAAAATATAGGGACCAGGTAACACATCTCAATGGTAAACTTAATATGTCAAATTTCATATTGAATTTATAGTGAATTTTTAATTTACATATATTTTAGATAACAAATTTTTATACATTTATTTGTATCAGAATTAGACATTTTAGAAACCAAGAAAACAATTAAGCAAAAACAGATACCTACATTTTAGTGACTATCAACCAGCGATATCAACACTCCATGTGCCCATGCTGTTCCTCTCAAGATGCAGCGTATCAGAATTAGGGGAGAAGTGTGATTTCTAAAATCATATTATTTTTCACATTTATACAAAAATATCTATCTTTTTGTTTTTGAGACAGGATCTTGCTCTGTTGCCCAGGCTGGAGTGCAGAGGCACAATATTGGTTCACTGCAGCCTCAACTTCCTGGGCTCAAGTGATCCTCCCACCTCTGCCTCCCAAGAAGCTAAGACTACAGGTGCATGCCACCATACTAGCTAATTTTATTTTTTGTAGAGGCGAGGTCTCACTATGTTGCCCAGACTAGTCTCAAACTCCTGGACTCAAGTGATCCTCCTGCCTCAGTCTTCCAAAGTGCCAGGATTATAGGCGTGAGCCACTACTGTGCCCGGCCTTTTTTTTAAATTTTGAGATAGAGTCTCGCTCTGTTACCAGGCTGGAGTGCAGTGGCACAATCCCGGCTCACTGCAACCTCTGACTCCTGGGTTTAAGCGGTTCTGCTTCCTCAGTCTCCCAAGTAGCTGGGACTATGCGCACCACCACGCCCAGCTAATTTTTGTATTTTTAGTAGAGACGAGGTTTCACCATGTTAGCCAGGATGGTCTCGATCTCTTGACCTCATGATCCACCTGCCTCGGCCTCCCAAAGTGCTGGGATTACAGGCGTGAGCCACTGCACCTGGCCAAAATGCTGAGTTTTTAAATCAAGAAGTTCAACAGAATCTTCTCGACTGGAAGAAATGTGCCAGAAAAAAAAAAAAAAAAAAGACTCTTTACCGGTAGGGCACATAGGAAAAACAGGGGTGTAGGAGGAACGACAGGGGTGTAGGAGAGAAATGAGATTTTTATCTGAGGAAGGGTGTGGGCCTCTCAGGTTGAGGAGAAGCAATGCAAATTTCATCCGGGAGTGGGAATCGTTAAGTTCAGGGAGTACCCTCATGCCTGAAGAATGCAGCATAGCACCTCACAGCACAAAGGCAAAAAACACTGAAGAAGGCACCAACAGGCAGTGGGTGGAGACAGACAGCAGTTATCGCTTAGTTTGACTTTGCTGCAAGCTGGTCACCATTTTTTATGACTAAGTATTTTTAACTTTGTCTACTGAAGGAATTTTTCAAAAGCATGTATCACTAAACTCATAATTAGCGACAACAGAAAAACAGAATTCACTTCTAAAAATTAGCTTGTAGTTGAAAGTATACAGGCCACAAATGTATCTTATACAGTTTATCTCCTTTCTGTTGATAAAAAATGTTCTCTGTTTGGTTAAAAGGAAACATTTTAATGTCTGGAACTAATGTGAGGAGCTCAAAACAGGCAGCATGGCATAGTAGAGAATGCTCTACTCTAGGCAGCAGAAGACCTGCATTCTGGCCCAGGCCATCCATTGATTACCTGTGTGTCTCAGTTTCCTCAACTGCAAAGTCAAGAAGTTAAACTAAATCAGGATTTTGTACAGGATTCCACTGAGCCACAGGACTCCCAGGAGGTGGTACCAGGAGGGGTACAGAAAGGTAGTCAGAAAGATGGGCAATTTGACCTTGGCTCAGGACCCTGATCCCTGCTCCAATCAGAGTTGCTCCACCCTCATCTCTTCCCTACATTAGGATTGTCCATAAGACATCTTTTGAGAAGAATTCTGCCTCAAAGAAATCAAAACAACTACAAAGACCCTGAATTTAATATCTAGGGTCTTCTTTTCTAAATGTCTATAAATGCTGAACTCAAATGCAGTTCCTAGTCTCTTCATTACTTCTGTCAAGCCCATGTGGTATATATACTTTACCTTAAGCTATTTTTGTTGAAAACATGCATAATTCATGAAAAGTACTATTGGAAAAAAAAATTCTTCTTCATAATGGCTCCCATAAAGGTCCACAGTGGCTAAGGTGGTTAAAGTCTTTTTTTTTTTTGAGACAGAGTCTCACTCTGTCACCCAGGCTGGAGTACAGTAACATAGTCAGGGCTCACTGCAGCCTCAACCTCTTGGGCTCAAATAGCCTTCCTGCCTAAGCCTCCTGAGTAGCTGAGACTACAGGTGCCACCAGTAATCCAGCCTACTTTTTTAAAAGTTTTTTTTGTAGAGACAGTGTCTTGCTATGTTGCCCCGGCTGGTCTCAAACTCCTGGCCTCAAGCAATTCTCCTGTCTTGGCTTCCCAAAGTGCTAGGATTATAGATGTGAGCTGCCATGCCCTGTCAGCTAAAATATTTCTGAAATTAATTTTCTGTTGTCTTTCATTCCTATTCTTATCTTACTGTGATAAAAAAAAATGCAAGAGGAAATACACATATATAATTTGTGGGTTAATCAAAAAGTGTTTTATAAGCATGTCTTGGAGATCTTAACCTAACATTTAGAATCATACGTAAGAACTACTTTTCCCTTTAACTAGTTCAAATGGTTTTGAATAAAACTGACATCTGAAAAAATTTTTAATTTTAGAATTAAAAATTCTAGTCACTGTGTGATCTCTTTAGCTGGTTTTTCTATAGAAATAGGGTGTTTTTTATTTGCCTTTTAGAGAGCCTGACTTATGCTTTATTCTCTGCTGGAAATATCAGTATACATTTTTGGTTGGATGTTCAAGGTACTTCTTTCATCCTCAAACCACGTATTTCTTTTATTAGTTTTATTTTCCATGTTGGCAAAATGGACTTTGCAAGTAGCAGTGAATACAAGCCTGTAGTACAGCTTTTTCTCTCATTCCCAT